TTTTTACAGTGGCTGATTTTTAAGAATCAGACCACCAGACCTTTCTGCTGAGATGCTGCTGAGTAGACTGGAGCCGGAAACCTCTTGGTTACCAGCCAAGCAAGCCCATTAACCATTTGCACCACCCAGAGACTCCTCTTAGGAAGTAAGAAGAGAAGTAAGGGCAGCAGCAACAACATATCAGCATCGATTAAATGCTTGTCACTAGGTACCTAACATGGTGTGGCGCTTTGGCCTAACGCCTGGATTGTAAGGTCAGTTTGAACTGTGAGGTCGGAGAAAATTACCCAAGCTCTCATATGTGGACCACTGGGTCCCCGCTATGTGCCAGGCACCAAGTTAAGGCATCAACAGCTCTCCAGGGAAGGTTCCAAGCCTGGGTCCTCTAATACGGAAGTTAATGAAATGTGATCATAGCAGATATTACAGCAGATGTACTGTAAGACTTAGTATGGAAAACAAATGTAAAATATTTCACTAACATTATGTATTGAAGTGTTGATATTCTGGATGCATTGGGTGAATGAAAATATATTACTAAAATTGATTCCATTTGCTTCTTTTTACTTTTTCTAATGTGACTCCTAGAAAATACAGAATTGTGTGGGTAGCTCCCACTGTTTCTACTGGGCAGCGCTGTTTTATAACCACAGTAGAATCTTGCTACAGTTACTTCTGGTGGCAAATCAGTACTTGAAGGACCAGCTTATCAGTCTTCTGCTAGGCACAACGGATCAGAGGGAGGCTGTCCTACCCTCAGCCCCTACTGCCTAGTGTCCTATGCCCTAAGTCTGACTCTGGACTGTAGAGCCACACCCAGATGCGTCTCAGGGTGTGGCCAGGCCTCTATCTGGGTTGTAGCCACATTGGGGCGTGTTACACACTGCCTTGTAAAGCTGCTGTCTGCATGTTTCTGCCTCCACACTGCTCTAAGGCCTCCCTAAGGGGAATATCAATTCTTCTATTTCTTAGGCGGTCTTTGGCAGAATCCTGCCTGAGTCAGGTAGCATCTCTCCTGGCCATTCCCTCTTAACTAGACCTCCCTGCAAGTTCTGATCTGGGACCTGGACTCTTGACCAGACAGCTGGGGAAGCCACTGGCTCCCTCCCCAGGCCTCAAGTCTCACTTACCCTTAACTCAGCACCCAGGTTCTCTCTTTGAAACATGGCTCCTTGTCAGGTCCCCACTTAAACCCTCTCAATGACAAGACCTCCCCACCCCCAGGACTGCCCACAGTGTTAATGGGAAAGGGTTGGTGTGCACTTACAGATGACTTATTTTCTGCATTACTTATTTCAGATGGACTTTTCCCATAGACAGGAATTATGTTTGTAATTAAAAAAAGATAATGATTAAAAACAACTTCGAGAACAAAAGCAAATACTGTTATATACAATCTCGCAATAACAATGATCTACTACCGGTAGACACATGGATAGATACACTGGCTGAATGGTGTGGGAGGGAAAATGGAATATACTCACAAATATTTAAAAATCTGATAAAGGACATTTGTACTTGGAAACTCTATAGCGTCACTATGAGTCACTCAACGGCACTTCATAACATGAATATTTACCTTTGTGGAGAACTGCTGTAGTGCTGTAGGATAAGCACTGGACTGCAAACTGCAAGGTTTGCGGTTCAAACCCACCAGTCACTCATGGGAAACCTTATACAGGGTCACTCTGTGTCAGAACTTTGGTGGCACTTAACAAGATTTACCTTTGTTTCAAACATATCCATGAATATGAATAATCACACAGGGGGTTAAAATTATGAAAACTTCTTAGACATTACCCAATATCTTGAGGGAATAATTTGCTGGGCCTGGGAGCTCAGGATCATAGCCTCAGGGAACACTATGGTCAACTGGTATAATACAGTCCACACAGAGGTGTCCTGATGTGGCGCTGGGGGTTAATGCACTGGACTACAAAGTTGGTTTGAACTGCAAGGTCGGCGGTTCAAGATTACTAGCTCACTAGCTGCTCCCTTGGAAACACTATACAGGGTCGCTATGGGTTGGAACCAACTCAACAGCACTTAACAACAGTCCACAAAGACAATGTTCTACATCCTACTTTGGTGAGTAGCAACTGGGATTTTAAAAAAGCTCCTGCAACAATTGGACTCTCCGTGTCTGAAGGAAAGAAGAGTGATGAAAATTTAAAACTCAGAAGCAATTAGTATAATGGACTAATGCACGGTGGGAAACTTTTTTCTGCCAAAATTTATAACATTGTTCATGGGCGATAAAGTATCAACTTAAAACTGAGCCTGCTATATTTGGTCAAATATTTAATTAACTCATTCCTAATGTGATGACCCTGTATAGGGTTTCCATGGAATGACTGCTGAACTTGAAATGCCAACCTTGCCATTCAAACTGACTTTGCAGTCCAAGGCATTAACCCACAGCGCCACACCAGGACTCCTCAGAAACCCTATACAGGGTCACTATGTCAGAACCAACTCGATGGCATTTATCAACAACAATATAATGCCTAGAACTGCAGTTACAGTTGTGGGTCTTATATGGCCAGCGGGTCAATATTCCCCACCTCTGGACTAAAGAATCACGTGAACATCAGTCTCCTCAATCCTGAGATCAGAAGAACTACATGATGCCTGGCTATCACTATCAGTATCTCTGAAAGAGATCGCATTAGTAGGTCCTGGATACAGCAGATAGTCCTGGTGTGGTGCTGTAGGATAAGCACTAGACTGCTAACTGCAAGGCTGGTGGTTCAAACCCACCAGTTGCTCCTTGCAAACCCTATGCAGGGTCACTATGAGAAGGAACCAGCACTTAACGACAACAGAGATAGAGAGTTAAAGTCAGGATCAAGCTTACTGGCCAGAGTGGGTGCCTCTGACCAGTTACTGGCAAAGCTAAAGAGCTTTGTAACCCTTGGCTGAGCAAGGCAAAGGCTGGGCAGGCCCAAGACAGTGAAAACACTTGTCTTGATTGAAAAACCATGTCCTGATTAGTTTCTGATCCTGAATTGTAACCTGTTACTTCCTAATTAACCCCATAACCATGAGTATTTTCTGAGTTCTGTTTGTCCAATCCAATGAATTCTCAAACCCAGCCAAGCAAAGTGCCATGAAAAAATCGCTGGTGTCCGAAGTGACCCAACAGACTGGAGAAGGAGTGTCTCATCTCTGCCTAATAGGAATCAGCCTTGGGCTGATACGGATTCTCTCTCCCCATCGTGAAGCTAGAAGACGCTTCCACCATGCCATTATTATACACACGTGTTACTGTTGTTATGTGCTGTCGAATCGGTTCTGACCCATAGCAACCCTGTTTCTGAGGAGCAGCTTGTGAGCTTGAACTGCCAACCTTGTGGTTCAAACCGACTTTGCAGCCCAGGGCATTAACACACAGCACCACACCAGGACTCCCTTGATACACGTGAAGAAACTATTAAGTTGGTGTGTTTTGCTGACTATATATACAAAACGATTGGTGCTTTTTAAATTTACCATTGGCCAATTTAAAAAACAAAACTTATAAAACCTGTAAAATGTATATACAGAATCCCTGAATGATTCCAATCACCTCTTGGGTAAAGCTCAAACTCGTCTTAGCCTGGGAAAATAAGCCTTTACAATCTGATCCCATTAACTCCACCCATACCAGTCAGTCCGCTTTCTCTGACCCCACCTGATCCTTACTGGCTCTAGCCCTTTGCCCTTGATAGTCTCTGCCTGTTGAAACCTCCTCACTCTTCACAGGCCAGCTTAAATGGCACCTGGTATCAGGGTTTCTCAACCTGGCACTACTGACATTACCAAAACAAACAAACAAACCCACTGCTCTCCAAGTCATAGCCACACCACGTGTCAGAAAGCAGAATTGCTCCCCTAAGGCTTTCTTGGTTGTAATGTTTAGAGGAGTCCTGGCATGGTGCTATAGGATAACCACTGGAATGCAAGGTCGGCAGCTGCTCCTCAGAAACCCTACCTCGGTTGCCACGAGTTGGAAAGGACTCAATGGCACTTAACAACCTTTACAGAAACAGTCTGTCACGCTTTCTTTCCCAGCGCCTCTGAGTGGATTCACATCACCAACCTTTAGAATAAGTTAGCAGTCAATCGCAAATTACACCACCCAGACTGCTTCTATGGTCCGTTTTAGTGTACCCCAGTCCACCAGTGCTGGGCTCACAGGACAGATTATAGAAACACAAATGACACAACGAATACATGTGATGAGGTCTGACAGAAAAGTTTCCAGTCTCCTGACACAACCTGTTTGCCTCCTGAACATACCAATCATGGGTTCCTAAAATCACCCCTGTATGACCGACCTTAACCTTGCCCCCTCACCGCCAGCAGCTCCCACTCAGTGGTTGTTACAACGTTTAATAGAAACTTGCCTGTTTCTGTTGGTCCCTCTCTCCAAAGGCACAGGGACAGGGTGACTCAATACAGTGTGTGGACATACCATTCCCACTCCCACCCCACAAGGGTCAAGTAGAGAATCAAGCTGTGGTATAAATGGATTTCCGTCTGCCTCCGGGGATTCTGAGTCACTGTCTTCAGGGACAAGGTTTTGCTCTATGGACAGGAGCCATAGAAAAGGGGGCTTTGGTGGTCCCAGGGCCAGGGTAGGAGCTCTAGTCTGATCCAAGCTTGAAGCAGGAAGTCCAAGGACTGCAGTTCTGCCTGGGAGAAGCTCTGGGGCGTGGCTCTCCAGGCAGCTTGGATAAGCCTACATCTGCTCAGGTCTCACTCAACGGAAGAAACAGGAAAGGGAAGTAGGTTTTTTCAGGAAGAAGGGTTGGGCTGAATCTTCACAAAAGCAGTAACAATGAACAACCTCTCCAAGGCTGGACCAGAGCACCCAGAAAGCCCCAGACGAAGAGTTCTGCTGTGTCTGTCTGTGGCCTTCACGCCCAGTCTCTCCTCCTGGCAGTTCACTGCAAACGGGAGTCAACAGGCTACTGGCTGGACCAGCTCTCTGGGATCCTGAGGCCTCAGAAGCTGCTGACAATTAGGGGTCGATGAAGGAGACAGCGATGTAACGGGTGCCCTTGGTGGTGGGGAGCCCCTCATGGTAATGTGTGAGCCGTCCTGGGTGCAAGAGGGTCCAGCCTTTCCTTGGTGCACGGATAGAGCAGTTGTAACGCAGGAAGCGACAGCCCCCGCCCTGGGAGAAAGGAAGTGTTAGTTCACCAACAGGATGCTGGGCCTTTCCCACACGGCTCCCCTAGTCTCCCCATCAAGTGGCCTTTAACACAGCCTGTCTGGGGGTGCCTCTTATAGCAAAGCCCCAGTGAGCAAGAGCACTGGGGCCTTAGAGTCAGGCAGCCCTGACAAATCTAGGGTTCATGACTTACTCAGTGGGGGGCTTCAGTACCCCCAGCTGTAAAATGTGGGTTACAGTGCAGAAGGTTATGATAAATGATGAGACGATATGAGCTTGGTGGTGGTGGTGGAAACCTGTACAGGGTTTCCAAGGAATAGTTGGTGGGTTTGAACCACCAACTTTGAGATTTGCAGTCCAGTACTTATCCTATAGTACCACACCAGGAGTCCTAACATGAGCTTTGTTGTTGTTAAGTGCCCTCAAGCCAACTGAGGCTCATAGTGACCCTGTATTAGGGTTTCCAAAGAGTGGCTGGTGGGTTTGAACCACCAACCTTGCAGTTAGCAGTCCAGTACTTATTCTACAGGCCACACCAAGACTCCTGATATGAGCTTAGGTCGGGGTATTTCAACCTTAGCATCACTGATGTGGAGGGCCATCCTGGGCCATTCTAACCTCTACCTAGAAGATGTCAGCAACACTTCGATAGTTGTGACAACCCCAAGCATCTCTTCTTGTTAAGTGCCACTGAGTCGATTCTGACTCATAGCAACTTGTATAGGGTTTCTGAGGAGTAACTGGTGTGTTTGGAATTAGCAGTCTACACCACTGCTTATCTTACAGCGCCACACCAGAACTCCAAAAATGTCCCTAGACATTTCCAAATGTTCTCTGGGAGACGGGCAAAATCCCTTCTCAAAAAAATTACAGCTGTTTTCATGGGTGTTCTTCAGTGCCTAGTCCAGAGCTGAGGCCAAAGAAACTATTTAAAAATAGCAAGTTCAGAGGCCCTCCCAGGGGCCCGGCTTCCGTTCTCTCTGGCTTCGTGACGCTGGCAGCCCCAGAGCCTGTCTGCCTCTACCACCCTATAAGCAGCTCACCATCCAGCATGCTCCCCACCTGCTCTCAGCCCTGCTCACCTCATAGTCCACTCCTACCCGGTTGAGGGCAATGTTGATGGTGAAGGTGGAGGCGTCGTGGTGTGGCATCAGCGAGGGCTGTTCGTCAGGCTTGTAGCGGACAACAAAGGCCAGGTCGAACTGGGCCTACACCACAGGGATGGGGCAAGAACCAACGTTAATGGAGAAAGACCAGGAAAGGTTAGGGGTCATGGGGAACACACACAGGCCCTCGCACGGGAATGTCAACTCTGAGAGCCAATTTGCTCTATGCTGTATCCTTCAGTGCCTGGAATGGTGCCTGGCATGGAGAAGATAGGGAGGGAAGGAGAGAAGAAAGAGGGACAAAAAGAGAGACTACAAAGGAAGAAAGAAGGAGAGAACAATGGAAGAGAGAGGAATGGAGGGAAGAAGAAAGAAGAGGAAAACAGGGAGAGGAAGGAAAAACGGAAAGGAAGGAGGGACAAAGGAAGTAGGGGAAGAATAAACCTTATGACTCATTCCAGCAACTCTCCACTAATGAGTCCTTGAAGGCGCAGCCCAGGCACACCCAGGGCAGGTGTTCAGAGAAAATCATGGGAATGACAAAGAAAGAGACGGGACAGAGAAAAGCAAAGGGGCAGATGACAGACACATAAGGGACAGCTACAGAGATCCTGAGGGAAGGAACCACATGTGTTGGCTGGTTCACTGGGAGCTTGCTTACTCAGCTAATCAAGAGTCACCAGGGTGGGATTTAAGGAAGATGGGGTAAGGTCAAAGGGGCCCCCCACCTCCTGATGCCCAGTCTGGCTGGGAAGACCTCATTCCTGCCTCTCCCCCGGGCCTAGACCACTTCACCATCCACCACTATCTCCCTCTGTACCCACCCTGGTGTAGTAGCCGGGGTAAAGCTTCTCAGTCATGGGTGCAATGTACTCCACCAGGAACTTGTGCCATGCCCGCTCAAAGCCGATCTGGTTCATGTGGATATCAATGGTTGGCACGTTTTCATAGCCACCCTGGATGCGATTGTCCTGTAGGTGACCAAGGAGGACATGAACTTCAACAAGGCAGAATTCTAACCCCTGGGGGGTCTGACCCTGCACAATCCCTTTGTGTGGCCAAGACCGGTGACTATACGTTGTATTATGTAGCAAAAGGGAAGGAGTTTTGCAGACGTAATTAAAGACTCTAATCAGTTGAATGCCAGAAGAACAAATAAATCTGTTGGAAGAAGTACAGTCAGAATGCTCCTTTGAAGCCAGAATGGTCAGACTCTGTCTCTCATACTTTAAACATGTTATCAGGAGGGACCAGTATCTGGAGAAGGATTTCACGCTTGGTAAAATGGAGGGTCAGCAAAAAAAAAGAAGACCCCCAACGAGATGGATGGGCACAGTGGCAGCAGCAATGGGCTCAAGCATAGCAATGACTGTGAGGCTGGCACAGGATCGGACAGTGTTTTGTTCTGTTGTGCATAGAGTCGACACCTAACAACAACAACAATCCGCTGACTTGGGTTCATCTGAGGGAGATTGTGCTGGATGAGCTACACCTGTACAGGTGAGTTCTTTACAAAGGATCTAATAAGAGAGATTTTTCTCTCCTGCTGGTCTTAAAAAAGCAAGCTACCATGAGTTCTGCAGCTGCCAGGAAATGGATTCTGCCAACAACCATAGGAGCTTGGACTATGACCCTGAGCTTCAGAAAAACTTAGCTCCAAATGACACCTCAGTTATCGCCTGGAGAGCAGAGAGAACAGCTAAGCTGGGCCCAGCCTCCTGACCCATCCTAAGTGTGTGCTGCTCTAAGTCTCTTAAACTTGTGGTAATCTGAGATGCAGCAGCACAAAACTGACGCAGGGGGGCAGTGGTGACAAGGGGCTTGTCTGGGCACAAGGGTTAGCAGAAGCCCAGATTGTATGAACCATCCCAGTTAATGGGTTCTGAAGACCGGCTTTGCCACAAAGCTTGCATTTGAGGCAGGTAACCAGAACCACAACGGAAAGGAAAGGAAAGGAAAGGACAGCCGGAGGCTCAAAAGACCCAACGTCTCCCTCCATGTTGTTAAAAGCAGCTGGTTCCTGGACTTGCGTACATGAGTAAGGCTAGGATTGTCCTCCAGAGGGCGCCATCCTCCCTTATACTCGGTGCCACCAGCTTCTGAGGCTACTGAATTTGGAAACCTATACCCTTTCCACCCTACACTTCTAATTCCTTCCCAACCCCACTCATCCTTCAGGTCCAAGAAAGGAAGGGGAACAATTTAGTCATATATCAGGAACTGAAAACCAAGCAACTTAAGTTTCAGGAGCTCAGTCACACAGTAGCAAAGTGGCTTTGGGGACCATCTCTGCTTTCAGTTTCTCAACTCCTCTCCTCCCAACTGCCTATGGGCACCCCTGCCAGCACCCCATCTGGAGAAGCCACAGAGAAGAGCCTAGAAAGTGGGCTTGGGTGGAGGGGGTCTCACCTTGTTGTCACCCATAGACCACTGGCCAAAGTGCTCCATCTCTTCCACTAGTTCATCACAGGCTGTCTCGGTGAAGATGGGGAACCAGTAGACATCCGGGCAAGGCTGGGGGGGTGGGGCTCAGTCAGTGGAGTACAGAGGGTCCATACCCATGTTCCTCCTGTTCCCATAGCCCTCAGCAGGCCCCTTGCCTGCCCTCACTCTGGCCAGTGAGCCCCCCATTGGGAGCAGGCTCTGTTGATTTTAGATGGACCATATGAGCTGCTGAGGGAGGAGGAGGCAGGGGCGAGGTCTGGGATAAAGGAGGGTTGCTTACCGTCTCCACCAGCTTCCCCTCCAGGGCCTTGGTGTAGTTCTCATGGATATACTTCTCCTTCCAGTCCTGTGGGGATGGGGGAGGGGGGGTGGGGAGAAGAGGGCTGGGTCCTCAAGCCTGAGCTGCCCACATGCTGAGTACCACAGAATGCCTCCCTGAAGGGTTCCCCCAGAAAGGGCTACCCCAAGAAGCACAGTGCAGGGGTGTACACCTCTGCCACTGGGTTGTTGTCAAGTGCCTTCAAGTTGGTTCCAACTCATAGCGACCCAGTATAGGGTTTCTGAGAAGCGGGTAGTAAGCTTGAACCGCCAGCTTTACAGTTCAAACCGACCTTGCAGTCCAGCCCATGGACCCGAAGTGCTCACAGAACTCCCTGCACTGGGTACACATGGGCTATTTGAGCAAAGAGCTAGTGTTTGCACACGTGTGTCTACATGTGCACACTCAACATCTACCACAAGCTCCCAATATCCAGGTGCACTGTCATAACTGTCACCTCCTTTAACCATCACAACACTTTCTGGAATGAGGGATGCTGGGATGGTATGTCCACTTTAGAGCTAAAATCACTGAGGCACTGCAAGTTGAGTGGTTCAATGAAGTTACAGCTGGTAGCAGAGCTGGGCTCAAACCCAGGCCTTGGATTCCTAGTCCTTTCTCCACTAGATGGCGCTGCCTCTCAAGGCACCCATCAGTCCCAGGCAAGTTCAGTTCCACAGCCAACCCTGGGGCAGAGGGAAGAGAGGTGGCCACAGGGTCCTAGCTCCTAGTAAGATCTGAGGTGGAGGTGGCTCACGATCAATGGGATCCCTGCGCTACTCCCCTCCCAGCCCCACTGTGATCCTTACCTCAGGGTTGCTGAACACCTCCCAGAGGTCATTGTGGAGATGGGTGGTCTGGTAGCTGTCCAGGGAGAGCAGGTGACCAAAGGTGTGCCGGTTGGTCAGGAACATGAACACCTCCTGGAGAAAGGAACTGGATGGGAGAGGCCCCCCTCACTCCCCATCTCCCAAAGGACCCATAAAGGACCACTGGTGCAGCTTTCTCTGACCACCAGACTCAGGTCACAGGTACACAGACCAAGTGTGGTCACCTCCTTGTCCCCAACACCCAGCCCAGGCCTGACACTGGGGATGCAATCAGGGGAGGCTTCCTGGAGGAATGAACGTGAAAGGAACCAATAAATGTGTGAAAGAACAAATGACTATGGACATCAAAATGAACAAATGATACTTTGATGCTGAAGCTTTGGCCACAGGGGGCTGTGTTGTCACACAGGTGAAGGAGTTTAAAAAAAAAAAAAGGAAAAATCACCATAAAATATGGGGTGGGGCTCACAGACAGGGTAAGGGTGTTTCTTAGGTGCATTACTTGGGCTACATTTAGTGGTAAGTGATCTTGGTGTTGTTAGCTGCTGTCTGGTTGGCCCTGGCTCATGATGACGCCATGTATAATGGGACCAGGCCACTGTAATCCAAACAGTGTTTATGGGCTGATTTTCAGTAGATCTCCACACCTTTGCTTTCTAGTTTGTCTTAGTCTGGAAGTTCTGCTGAAGCCTATTCAGTTTCATAGCAACATGCAAGCATCAACCGACTGGCCAGGAATCAAATCCCAGTCTCCAGTAAGGAAGACAAAAATTCTACCAGTGAGCCATCATGGCTGTCTAAGTATTATCAATAGGTTCTTTTGGAAATGTAAGTAAAACAGATGATGTGAGAACTACTAAATGGTCCCTGAAGACCACTGTGCAACCATCAACATGCCCAGAGTCCTGTGTGCCCCCACCAGGTCCCAGGGTTTCTGAGCAGCGCCACTGGGATGTCAGCAGCTCCCTAGACTAATAATGACAAGGCTGCCACCATGAGAAACAAAGCTCAAGGTCCACCTTTCCCATCAACAGGGCCTCCTGCGACCTTGAACCCCACAGCCAACCTGCTGCCGGATGTTGGCACAGAAGGACATGTCGGGGTCCAGCTTGCTGTGGTGGAACAGGTCTTTGTGTTGCAGTTCAGTCCGCAGGGCACTGCCCTTGATCAAGTAGATGTTTGAGATGTAGGGCACATTCCAAACACCCCTAGTCAACAGAGACAAGACGGGAGAGGTCACAGACGAGGTCAGGGACAAGATTACAGGCAGGAACAGGCCAACAATGCTAATTTGATTCCTCCACCCCAGCACAGGAGCTTGGCATAATTGGCAGGAAGTCCTTCTTCGTATCTGACTGCAGAATTCCTTGCTTCATGGTCAGCAGAAATTTAAGGGCAACAAAGACTGGGATATTGGTGTTGTAGTTGTGCTGAGTGCCGTCGGGTCGGTTCCGACCCATAGCAACCCTATACAGGGTTTCCGAGGCTGTAAATCTTTATGGGAGCAGAAAGCCTCATCTTTCTCCCACGGAGTGGCTAGTAGTTTCGAACTGCTGACCTTAAGGTTCGCAGCCTGATTCATTCGTAGCCACTACGCTACCAGAGCTCCTTATTTGTAGGGGTGCTGAAATGCCCAGTGGAAGACAGGTGAGTGCCCTGACAATACTCACAGGCGCCGACCCTGCACAATGTCCACGTAGTCCTCGGAGCGGGCGTAGTAGCCATCTGCACTCAGTGCCCCCCAGAAGTTGGACCACAGTCTCCCATGGCGGGTCATCAATGGGGCGATTATGTTCCTAAGGAGGGAGCACCTCAGCAGGAGATGCCTGACCACTGAAGGGAAGGGGGATTTGGTACCCCTGGGGCCTGCTTCCTCCCATAGTGAAGCCAGAGACAGAATGGGGGTAGGGAGCTGGAGTAGAGAATTAGGATGGGATGAGGAGGGGAACATCCTAAACTAATATAAGGGTGGGCAGCATGTTCAGTCAGACCCCAGAGGCACAGACCCCGGGAATCCATAGGTGAGGCCAAGGGGGAGGGAACAAGTAAGGGAAGGGTGCCTACTGGGAGCCCAGGCCCATATCACAGAGCAGTGCTGGGCTGAGGCTCTGGCTTGAAGGGTCCGTTGCCCACGGGCCTCACTTGTTTTGCTCGATCAGCAGCCGCAGGGCATTGGGTTCAGTCAGGGCCACGTCAGCGTCCATGCTGAAGTAGTAGGTACAGCTCCGGTCCTGCCGGCACAGGTCTCTGCAGGGCGTATGGCATGGGGTTAGCAGGGCTGGGGCTCCGGCGCCAGCCTCATAACCTGGGATCCCAGAGACATCCAGCAGCTACTAGGATTGAACAGAGTCTGACGTCACCAGCTACCAGCCCAGGGTCCTGAGAGAGGGACCACCAGCACAGGTCCTGGGCTGCCTGCTCTCCAGATGAAAGCCCAAGTTTGGCAACAAAAGCCCTGAACTAGGGCAAGCACAGCACACCAAGCAGGTTCTTATGCTGCCGGGCTGGGGAAGGTGGGAAAAGGTGGGAAGAATGGTCTGGTCATTCTAGAAGGCAATTTGGCAGCTTGTACCAAAAGCCTTAAAAAGTTATGTTCTTTTGGTGTAGAGTTCAGCAAGTGATGGTCTGTGATCCAAACCCAGCGCACCCACCTGCTTCTGTACAGACCACAAGCTAAGAATGGTTTTTACATTTTTCACTGGTTGGGAAAATAAAAAGAAAATGATTCAATTCAAATTTTAGTGTTCATATATAAAATGCTATTGGAACACCCCATGCTTACGCAGTTAACTATTTTTAATTTATTTATTTTAAATAAATGTTTATTTACCCTAAGTAAACTGCCTGATCAGTGGAAGAACTGAGTGGTTGCGACAGAGACCACAGAGCTGAAAATATTTACCATCTGACCCTTTGAAGGAAGTTTGCTGACCTCTAGTCAGAACTGTCTAAATCTTCAACCATCAATACATATTACTTAGGGTTTGATAAGTTTGGTTTTGTTTTAATAAAGAAAAAAAAAGAAACCAAAGATGGTGTTATGGATTGAAAAGTATGCTTTGAAAATCCTAAACTCCAATACCTGTAGATGTATTCCCTTTTGGGAACAGGACTTTGTTAGGGTAATGAGATCATATCAGTATAGGGTCAGTCTTAAGCCAATCACCTTTGAGATATAAAAGAAGCAGATCAGCACAGAGAATCAATCAAGCACAAATGAAAGGGAAGCTGTATCTCACGTGAAGACTGCCAAGAAACTGAGGGACAGTAGCGGAAAAGACACAAGAACCTCCTCTACAGCTGACAGAGACAGAAAGCCTTTCCCTTAGAGAAGCGGTTGGTGGTGTCAGGTGAGTCAGTTTTGACTCATAGCGGCCATGTATAGGGTTTCAAGGAGCAGCTGGTAGGTTTGAACCACCAACCTCCTGGTTCACAGTCCAGTGATGATCCTACAGCACCCTACCAGGAGTCCAAAGCAGGGGTGGGGAACCTGATTTCTGCCAAAATTTATAATAACATTATTCACGAGCCATACAAAATGATCAACTTAAACATTAGTCTGCTATAATTGATGCTTTTAAGTTATGGTGTTAGAGGAGAATATTGAAAGTGCCATAGGCTGCCAAAAGAACCAGGAAGTGCAGCCAGAATGCTCCTTGGAGGCCAGGATGGCCAGACTTCGTCTCTCATACTTCAGACATATTGTCAGGAGGGACCAGTCGCTGGAGAAGGATATCATGTTTGGTAAGGTGGAGGGTCAGAGAAAAAGAGGAAGACCCCCAACAAGATGAACTGGCAAAGTGGCAGCATCAATGGGATCAAGTGTGGCAACAATTGTGACGTTGGCCTAGGGCTGGGCAGTGTTTCGTTCTGTTGTACATAGGGTCGCTATGAGTCAGTACTGACTCGATGGCACATAACAACAACAGATCTGGTAAAACATTCAATTAACTCACCCCTAATGTGTTGGCTAGAGTCCTGGTGTAAGGCTGTGGGATAATGCACTGAACCACAGGGTCGGTTTGAACCTCAAGGTTGGTGGTTCAAATTCACCAGCTGCTCCTCAGAAACCCTATATAGGGTCGCTATGAATCAGAACCAACTGGAAGGCACTTAACAACGTACTGGCTGGAACTGAGGTTGCCTTGGCAGGGCCAGACCAAACGATTTCTCGGGCCTTACACGGCCTTCAGGCCAGACATTCCCTACCCCTGCCGTAAAGTCTCCTGAACTGTGAAAAAATCCACTTCTTTGTTCAAGCCACTCATTTGTACTTCTGTTATAGCAACATTATATGACTAAGACAGATTGCTTCTCTAATTGTCAACATTTGTCTATTTCCATTTCTCTGCCCTTCTCCTTTTTCTGATTTGCTTCTGAAACCCAACTGATACTGCTCAGCCTGAATAGGACCTCCCAAGCCAGCAGGATGGAGAGTGTTTCCCTATTTAATGGATGGGAATTCTAAGGCCCAGAGAGAGACAGGAACTTGCAGGGCATCATAAAGCCTTCTGAACGCTTGTCTCCCAGCCTGATGCTCCTGACCCATGGCCCCTCCACCCACCATGCCCCCCCCTTACTTGCCCCTGGGCCCCAACTCACATGCCCATGTTCCTAGCTTCAGCATTGGCCACCCGGAGCTCGGGGCCCACCAGCTTCACAGACTGGTACTTGCTGCCATGCTCTGCCAGGAACTGCTCCACCTGGGTCTTATGGTGCTGCTCCTGGGAGGGGGGATGCAAGGATGAAGTACAGGCTTCCCCACAGGGCCCACACCACCTTCTACCCTGCTCATCCCTGGCTATCTGCTTTCCTGTCTTGGAGGACCTTTCCCCATATCAAAACCACTGCCTAGAAGCTCTTCCCAGATATGCCAGATCCTGGCCTTCTTTCAACCACCCTACCTGACAAAGCCCAGTTCCACAGGCCTCTTAAGAGGCTTTGTTGCCATGACAGCACCCAGAGAAGGGGAGGCTGCTTCAGGGTATGGAAAAATCAATCCGCATTGTTACAAAATACTCCAGGCTCAAACAGTTAAACACAGAACTACACATGACCCAGACATAGACCCTGTAGAAGTGAAGGCTGGAAGGCACCCAGGAACTCAGGAACCCGTAGGTCAATGTACACTGCAGCATTTTTCACAAGAGCCCAGGAGGAACAACCTAAGTATCCATTAACACACGAATAGATAAAAGAGGTGGCATGGTGGTCACAGTGCTCAGCAACTAACTGAGAAGTTGTTGGTTTGAACCCACCAACCACTCTATGAGAGAAAGTCTGTTTCTATAAAGAGCACAACCTTAGAAACCTTACTGGGACAGCCCTACTCTGGCCTGTGAGTTTGAATCAACTCATCGACGCACAATAACAGATGGATGGACAAACCAAATGTGGATCAGATATACAATGGAATACTACTCCCGCCATAAAGAGCAATTTAGTCCTGCTGCATGCCACAGCATGGGGGAACTGTGAAAACATCAGGCCGAGTGAGATCATTCCGTTGCATAGGGGACAAATACCATGTGATCTCACTTACAAGAAATACACAAGCATATAGAAGCCAAGAGTCCTGGTGTGACGCCACAGGATACATGTATCAATGGCACTCAACAACAACATGGAAGCCAAAGGTGGGAGAGAGGGGGCAAAAGGGCATTTCTGCTGAGGAGACACTGAATTTATGTGAATGGTGGTGTCTGATCTGGAAAAGAAGAGTGAAAATGGGTGGATACCTTGAAGAACATCATCCTGCCACTGAACTGTATGTGTAGCAGGAACCCTGGTGGGGTAGTGGGTTAAGTGTTGGGCTGCTCAATACAAGGTCAGCAGTTCAAACCCACCAGTTGCTCTAAGGGAAAAAGATAAGACTGTCTGTTTCTATAAAGATTTACAGCCTTGGAAACCCTAAGGAGGGGTTCTACTGTCCTAGAGGGGAGCTACTCACCAGCAGCAGGTTGGGGATTGTTTTGGTTAAAAATAAAAACCAGAAATTCAAAAAACAGTGGAAACAAAGCCAACAACAGTCCCTACCCAGGGCCCTTTGTGGGCAGAGGGGGTTGGGGAAGGGGGCTGTACAAAGCAGGGTCTTTAGAACAAACCCAGGGCTCAGAGCAAACCCTGGCTCGGCTAGGACTAGCCACGTGACCTTGGCTAAGTCATTGATTTCTCCTGTACCAACTTTAGCTTCCTCACTTGTGAAATGCAGCCTTCCCGACAGGTCACCATGAAGATTTGCTGAGTCAGATAGAACACAAAGCAGATCCCCACAGGCTGCCTCGTGACAGTTATTTTCCCACATACAGTCACAGTCATGGGCTCTGCCTGCTGTCTCCAGGGATGCTCTCAACGAGACTCCCATGGGCAGGGCCTAATCTTCTGCTTACATGTGGCACACTGCACAGGTGAGAGACTGCCTGGGAGGCAGGCAGGGAACTGAGCCAAGTTAGGACCATGGGGCCGGGCCATCCACCTAGGTGGGCAGCAGAGACGAGCGCAGGTCTAACTAAAGGTGACCTGAAGAACAGGTAGGAATTGGAGTGTCTCTGGCATCCCAGAAAGGGAGACTGACATACACAAAAGCCAAGAGGTAGGACTTCATCTGACTAGGGAGAAGAGGCAGGGAGGGAGGAGCTGGGGACGTTGAATCCAAGCCCATGGCCCACCAGGTACTCCAGGAATGAAAATCAACTTGGCTATCACTAGATCAAACTGCCGTGGTGGTTGGATGCCGTCAAGTCAGTTCCTACTCTTAAGAGATTCTATACACACCATCCTCACAATTGTTGCTATGTTTGAGCCCATTTATTGCTGCCACTGTGCCAAGCCATCTCACTGAGGGTCTTGTTCTTTTTTGTTGACCCTCCACTTTACCAAGCATGATGTCCCTCTCCAGGGACTGGTCCTTCCTGACAACAGGATCTTGACCCAAGTCACACAGTAAGCCCTTGGGGGAGAGCGCCTGGTATTTATTTACGTGGTTATGGATGAAGAGCCGCATCTGTTTCTGGGAGTAGCGGAGGCGCAGTAGCCGCTGGAAGAAGAGCGATAGGAACGGCGTGGGCTGCTCGATGAAAATGCCAACCAGGACTATGGGCAGAGCTTCATCCTGCACGGGGAGGAGGTGGCACAGGGTTCAGCAGTGTCTAAGGACAGCACCCACTGTTGACCCCCTGAGGGGCTGGGTGATCCAGAGCCAAGGGCAGAAGATACAGACTTAGCGTGGGATGGGAGCTGGGCAGGAAATTCTGAGCAGGGTGTACCCGTGGGCACAGGCAAGGCCTGGCAGGAAGTAGCCACAAGAGACTTCAAGAGGAGAGAGAGGGAAGTCCAGGCTAGGAACCAGGTTAGCTCCAGTGGACACAGCTGTCGGGAGATCATGACTGGTGTGGTGTTTGGGGGGAACTATAAGTGAGAGGTAAGAGACCAGGTGGAAGAAACTGGAATTTGGGCACTGGGGAAGCTGGGGTCATGTGTAGTCTGAGAAGACTTCCTGGGAGATGTGTCTGGGTACAGAGAAAGGGGTCCTGGGCAGGGAGTGAACCTGGTTCCCTTCCACCAAGGGCAATGGAGTATATTCCAGAACCTCTGGCCATCCCCCATCCATGACCCCAGTCGCAGGTCCTCACCCGGATGCCTTTGAGGAGGCGCAAGCCCTCATCACACACGGTGCAGCCTGTCTCAAAGGTCCAGAAACGTGGGATGTAGTTGCCCAGGTAGTTCAACTGCAGCTGTCAGAGGGACACGTGTCAGAGGAGAGTCAGGCTGAACCGCTCCTCCACAGCCACTGACAGGCCTGATGGACCCTCCCAATCACACTTCCCTGGACTCTTGAGGACCCCACACAACACAGTCCCCCCTAGTTCACGCTCTTAACAAACAAACAAAACCCCAGTTGCCATCACGTCAATTCCAACTCATGGTAACCCTCTGTGTGTCAGAGTAGAACGGTGCTCCAGAGGTTTACAATGGCTGAGTTTTGAGAAGGAGATCACCAGGTCCTTATTCTAAAGCAACGCTAAGTGGACTCAAATTACCAAGCTAGCCCCAGTGGGGGTCCTCCCAATCCCCAGGGGGCAGGAACTGCATTAGATTTTGGGCAAGTCTTAGAAAGAATGTTCCATTCTCCTGGAGTTCACTAAAGATGCTCTGAGGGAGGGCGGAGGACAGACAGCATACTTAGTGTTTCTTCATCTTTGGCTCTCCTGGGAAACTTGATAAAATGCAGATTCCTGAGTCCCTTCAGAAGATTTCCATTCAATTCAATTGGGTGGAGTCAAGAAACCTGCACTTTTCCCAAGTCTCTCCACTACCCAGTGCCACCACGTGATTCTGATGTAGGTGGTCCAAGACTCACTAAAAGAAATACAGTAGGAACCAGGGCACAGTGGGCTCCAGCTCCCTGAGGTCCACCCTGAGCCTGACTGCATTGATAGCTCCAGAGAGCAGGGACCAGTCTGTCCTGTAGGACTGTACCCCTTATTCCCTGGTGCAAACATTCAATGCATGTTTGTTGAATGAATAAGTGTGTGTGCAGCAGGGAGGGACTGTGTGTCAGTCAGTAGTACCCAAACCAGGGAAAGACAGCACCACGCTGAAGTCAGAGGCAGCAGGTCTACAGCAGGGCCCAGGTAGACAACCTTGGCCCCAGGAGGGGTTGGGGGTACAGTGAGCGAAGCATCAGGGTCCCAAGCCCCCTCTATGCTTCCTTGTGGCTGGGGTCACTCCCTACCTTGGTAGGCCCGTTGCCGTGAATCACAACCGGGAGAGTGTCATAGGCAAGATTCCGAGCTCTCACGTGTCCCATTTCAAACTTGAGCACGACCTCATCTAAGGACCAGAGAGCACAGTCCCTGACTCAGTGTCAGGCCCAGAGTTGACAGGCTGGCTCTTATCCCAGCTCTCCCCTAGTGACCAAAAAGTGGCCTTGGGCAAGTCACTTCAGCTTTTTGAGACTTGGTCTCCTCATCTGTAAAATGGAGATAATGCCATCTTCGTGGGGTGAGTAGAGGATTCAACAGCTGGCCCGCACTTCCTACCATGGCTAGAGTGTAGTGAGCACAGGAGGTTCCAGGGTACAGGCTCCCTGGAACCCCTAACAGGACCAACCTCCTTCTGTCCACCTTCATCCCCTCCCTGGGGGGGCTGCTCACCCAGGGCTCCATCCAAGTTCTGGAAGATTCGGCAGCGGTGGTCCAGGGTGATGTTGATCTGTTCCTGCCAGGAAAGAGGATGTCAGGTTGCAGTAGGGACAGGGCCTGGGCGTTAAGTGGGAGCTCCCTCACTCTGTGGGGGGAACCTTCCCCCTACCTGAACTCCATGGCTATGACTGCCTCTCCCCACACTCACTCTAGCCCACCACATCAGGGTAGCTGGGGGCCTGAAAACACCTGCCATAATCAAGCCCCTGAGCTCTATCTCTAGAGACTCAGGGGCTCTCAGAACCGGAAGAAATCAAAGGCAGTAACAGCTATTTCAATGACAACAACAACAGCAACAGCAACCACAATAAATAACAAACACTTGCTTACTATACCAGTCAGTGTTCTAAGTCTTGTATATGTGTCTGTACTTTATTAACTTAATCTGTAAAGCATCCCTATGAAAAAGCACTACCATTATCCCCATGTTTTAAAATAAGGTGCAGACTCCCACCTCCACCACCGCTCATGGTTGTCTCGCCATGGCGCTTTCTCGGGGGTTGCCCCAGGAGCTGGCCGAGGCTGTGGAGGGCCAGATGCTGGTGGTGGGTGAGGGGGCATCGGCTGTGAGCTCTTCAAGAACAACATGCTCACTGGCTTTTCCCATATGGATTTGAGTGATCGGGATACTATTGATGTTAGCAACCTCAGTAGGCAGTTTTTGTTTAAAAAGAAGTATGTTGGAAGATCAAAGGCCCAGGTTGCCAAAGAAAGTGTACTGCAGTTTAACCTGAAAGTTAAACTATGACAGCATCATGAGCCCTGACTATAACATGGAATTTTTCCAACAGTTTACATTGGTTATAAATGCTTTAGATAACAGAGCTACCCACAACCATGTGATAGGAAGGATGTGTCTGGCAGCGGATGTACCTCTGACTGTCAGTGGAATTACTGGCTAGCTTGGACGAGTAATTATTATGGAAAAGGGTGTATGTTATGAATACCAACATAGAGAACTTTTCCTGGCTGTACCATTTGTAACACGCCTTAAGAAACTATTTATTGCATCGTTTGGGCAAAGTATTTGTTCAACCAGTTGTTTGGAGAAGAAGATGCTGTTCACGAGGTTATCTCCCGAGAGAGTTAACCCTGAAGCTTCCTGGAAATCAATGGAAACTAAAGTCAGAGCAAGAGCATCTAATGAAGACAGAGACACTAAACAGATTTCCACAAAAGAATGGACTAAATCAACTGGATATGGCTCAGCCAAACTTCTTAATCAAGTTTTTTAGAGATGATACCAGGATATCTGTTGACCATGAATAAACTATGGCTGAACAGGAAATCGCCAGCTCCATTGGACTAGGTTGAAACACAAAGTCAAGGTGAAGACACCAATGTAGCAGACCAGCAAAATGAAGCCCAGTAAGGTCTGAAAGACCAGCAAGCTCTAGATGTCAAGAAATAGGCAAGTCTTTTTTCAAAAAGCATTGAGACTTTAAGATTTCAGTTTACAGAGAAACAGGGGAAAGCGGAACTCACGTGGGACAACGAAGACCCACCTGCTGCAGATTTTGTCACCTCGACTGCAAACCTTGGGATGCGTATTTTCGATACAAATATGAAGAACAGATCTGATATGAAATCAATGGCTGGAAACATCATTCCTGCTATTGCAGTGACTAATGGGTTGATAGCATTGGAAGACTTGAAGATTTTATCACGAAAACTAAGCCAACGTAGAACAATTTTTTGGAATAAACTACCAAACCCAAGAAAGAAGCTTCATTTGCTTTGGGCACTAGATCCTCCCAATGCCAGTTGTTAGGTATGTAAGTTGTGAGTTGGGATGCTAACCTCAAGGTTAGCAGTCCAAAATTACCAGCTGTTCCGTGGGAAAGAGATGAGGCTTTCTGCTCCTGTAGAGATTTACAGCCTCAGAAACCCTATGCAGTCGCTCTGAGTTGGATGGAACTGACTCCACGACACACCACCACTACTACCACCAAACAAGCCAGAGATGCTGCCAGAAGTACAACTAATGGCCGTGATGACGGAGCTCAATCTTCTCCATCCACAGCGCAAGAGGAAGACGATGTGCTCATAGTGGATTCAGCTAAAAAAGGCCCTTCAAATAAGGCTGGTGGTATTGGCAAAGAACATAGAAGTCACAAGAGGAAATTGGATGAGAAAGAGAATGTTACTGAGAAGTTATGTACAGAACCAACAGATGAGCTTGATGAAGTTATAGCATTAGACTGAACAGAAATATGCCTTCAGACAGAACCTTCTTATGTTATCTGGACAGAACAGATTGTTATGTCCTTTGTTCCAAAGGGAAACAAGTTTACATCATCGATTTGAAAATGATTCTGCTACCTTTGAAAGCATTCATTTTCCTAGAACAATTAGAAACATAACAGTATGCTGTATTGAAAGTAGGAATATATAGTTTTCATGTCTAGATGGGTCTAGTGAAAGGAGATGGGGATAAGATTCTTAAGATTCAATAGTGAGCAATTGTTATCAAGACTAATTACAACTGTCACAACTGTAAAGATAGAAGTTTGGCAACAAAAAGGGGGAGTAGTTAATCTTACATTCCAGGAACAGAGGAACAGGGAGAAGAGCATGAGCAGAATGTGGGACCCTATCCAGAGAAGCAGCAAAACCAGAGATGGAGGCAGAGATGAGGACATGGAGAGAGGGAGCAGCTGAGGACTCTAGACTCACGGAAAGAGAAAGGCTGTGTGCTGGCAGCCAGGAGGCAGGCTTGCAGAATGCACCCTTTGGTTGTTTAAATGATTACATATTCCTGATTGTTTCTGTGTACATCAAAAACAAAGAAAACAGAGGGAATAGAAGCAAATACTGTTGAATGATAATGCATGGGGGGATTGTAATCATTGCAGTGAAATGAAATACATTAGGATGAGTGTAAAACCAATGTTCTTCCATTGTAAACTATCATTCAATTCACAATAAAAAAAACTAAAAAAAAAAGTAGGAATATAGTTTTGAAACTCTTCTAACAAAGTGTATACATAAAGAGTTATGAGATAAAACAACACAACGCATATTGCCTTTTTGATGTATACACCTTAGGTATCATTGAATAGTTTTAAAATATTGTGGTTTAGTAAAGTTGATACCTGGTTATAAACATGATGCCTTTATTGTTGGCTAGAAAAAGAACCATTTTTGTCCTAGATCTAATCGTTTTCATATTCTGACTGAAACAGATTCAAAGAGGTATCAAGTGCCACGCATTCAAACTTGTTTTTAGATGTTAACTGGCACTGTATATATTATTGCAAAACAATGTTAATTTACTCAAGTTTATACTTTGTACTACCTGGTATGTCTGTAAGAAGACAATTTTTGTGTATTGTTACAGTTCCAGGTTATTTATATTTGCTGTTTAGAAAAAGTCAAATACAACTATACTGTACTTGGACCACATAAGTGTCATCTGCTTACTTATTACACAACAAATAATTATGAAGGCAAAGAGTGACTGGACAACTTGCCCAAGATCACGTAGCTGGGATTTGAACCCAGGTAGCCTGACCCTAAAGTCCCTATTCTTAACCACTGGGCAACATTTCGTTTGAGTTTCAACTGTGTCTTGAAGACTCCCTAGGCCAGTTTGAGGAAAAGCAGACGGCATTTTGGGCTATAGCACCCATCCTAAACAAAGCAGCTTCTCTTTTATGTTTTGGACCCTGGGCTTCTACAAATGATGTCACCAGAAGCAGAGGGGAAGGAGGAAAAAGGTCTGAGTTGACAAAAAGATCCGTTTCTACTGCCCAAGCTGCTTATTTTATGGGTGACAGAATCTGAGGCCCCAAGAGGGAAGGTAACTTCCCAAGGTCATACAGGGGAGCAGGGAAGAATCAAGGAACCTGACCCCAAGGCCTCCTTGTGCTTCCTGCCGGTCCAGAGGGCACTTCCTGGCCTGGCCTGGCCACGCCCCTCAATGTTGTCAGCCTCCATCCAGACAGCTCTGATGTGGGGCTTCTGGACCCAACTCTATCAAGGACCCATCAGCGCCCCCTGCAGGATGGAGGAGGAGCAGCCAAGACTGGCAGATCTTTTCATCTCAGTCACCACCTGACTTGAGGGAGGTTTGTTCCTATCTATAAGTCCTGGTATGATGCTGTAGAACAAGCACTGGACTGCTAACCACAGCCGCTCCTTGGAAACCCTATACAGGGTCACCATGAGGCAGAACTGACTCGATGGCACTTAGCAACCACATGGCAAAGCTATTCTGCTTACTTCGCTGCCATATCCTTACCTCCCGCCTGTAACAGTGCAGGCTGCCAATATCAGACAAATGAATGAGTAGCCCAAAGAATGAATGGATGAATGGGTGTCAGGACCCCAGGGGGCTTCTCCTGGTGAGTCTGCCCTCTGGGCAGCCCCCTCTCCTGGGCTGCACCTTCCGCTTCTTACCCTCTTCTCTGGGTCTAAGAAGATCTTGGTGTAAAAGAGCTGGTCGCTGTCACTGTCTTGACCCTCCCATTCAGATACCAGTTTGCTGAGGTTGGGGGCAAAACCGATGAAGCCTGGAAGGGAGGGGGCACACAGAGACAAGAAACTTAGCTTCCAGCCTCCAGGGCAGGAGCCTCCCCCAGCCTCTCCTTTCAATCACCTCCCATCCTTTACCCACCAACTCTGTTTCCTCTTGGAAGTCCCCTTGGATTAATGGGCGGTGGTTTCTGCAGACTAGAAACAGCCTATCAGTTCATACTGATAGTTCCCACTATGGTTGATGAGTTCCCACTAACCCCAGAGAGAAGGCTCAATGGAGCCCACAAAATTGTTCCAACAGCACAGCTCTAGACACAGGTGGTGAATGAAAATGAAACCAGAGCCCCTGGAGTACTAAGCTGGAGAGGTCCAGGCTTGAGCCCCTTTGATACAGTTATCTGGGACAGCTCAGTCCAGGCAAGGGTAGAGGTCACATTATACATTGGGTACTGTGCCCTGGTACAGTGGGGGAAATCCACACAGGTTTCCTGGATGGGTGAAAACTATCAAGAAGAGGAAGCAAAAGAAAGGGGAGATGGTGGGAAGTCAGGAAGGGGCCCATCCCAAGGACACCCCTACTCTGGGCATCAGGGCCAGGACATTCTAACTCTCAGCTAGGGGAGGAACATGGGTGCTGGGGGCAGATACCCTTTCCAAGGCTGGACAGGGGTAATTTCCAAGCAATGGAGTGATGTGAGGGGTCTGATTCTTTAAAAGGTCCCTCTGGATCTTAAAAGCTCATAAGCAGCCATCTAAGATGCAACTATTGTTCTCTCCATGTACAAAAGAAAGAAGAGTGATGAAAACTTGAAGATGATTGGAATCAACTAATCCAATGGACCAATCAATGGACATGTGAACATCAGTCTCCACAATTCTGAGACCAGAAGAACTAGATGGTGCCCAGCTACCACTTACTAACGTCTCTAAAAGAGATCACATTAGAAGGTCTTGGGTAGAGTGGGAGAAAATGTGAAACAAAACTCAAAATCATGAAAAAAAAAAAAAAAACCCACAAAAAACCACAACACAACAGGCTTACTAGTCAGAAAAAGACTGGAGGATTCTAAGACCATGGCTCTCAAATCCCCTTCAGGTCTGGAATGGAACTCACCCTTGTAGCCCAATTTTCTGTCAAGCAGTAGATAGTTATATAGGAGAAGCAACAACACTAGTAAAGTATCCTCACCATGCAATGATCAGCCATTCAAGATCAAAGGGCAACAGTTACCTAAGGTCAAAGTTGAGAAGGGATGGGAAGGTGGGTAGAATGGAAATAAGAACCACAGGGAGAAAGCAGGATAACTGATGTTCCGTGGAGGGGATTACAGTCATTGAGATGAACAATGTGTATGATTTGTTGAATGTAAAACTGATGATGCTCTCTGTAAAGCTTCATTCAATTAGCAATAAAACATTGAGGAGGAGAAGAAAAGGTCTCTCTGGCAACTGGGTAGAGAAAGAACTAGAAGGCGGTGAGGGTGGAGGTGGACAGAGCAGTTAGGAGACTACGATGGATGTCTAGGAGCCAAGGGGTGATGCTGGGCTGGGTGAGATAGTGGACATGCATGTGGAATGTGAGGAGATAGGCGCAATGGAGCTAAAATAGAAGGAAGACACGAGACGGCGCTTCTGGATGTTGCTCTGTGCAGTTGGGTAGCTGTTTCATGAGAACGTCAAAGACTACAGGGTAGGGAAAAGGAATGGATGAGGGCAGGTTTAGGGGTGAAAAATCAGGAGCTCTTTGATGGCTAATTTTTGTGTTAATTTTGGTTTTGCTGTTGGTTTGTGACTAAGGAGACCTCAAGTGTGTCAATGTACAATTGCTCAATAGGGCTTTCTTGGCTAGCATCTTTACAGAAGCAGATTCCCAAACCAGTTTCTTCTGCAAGGCTGGGAGGTAGGTTCAAACCATTAACCTTTCGGTTACCAGCCAGAGATCTTATGTGATAGTGTGAGAAACGTTGTCTACACTGACAAACACTCAAGTAATCCAATCTGTACTCATTTTAGCGAGAGTGGGCTTTTCTTTATTCAATTTTGCAAAATCAGGCACTCAACCCCGTAGACAAGGGCAGACACACCACATGCCCACCACAAACGGTTTTTACTCTTGTCTACAAAATGCCCCTCCTCCAGTTCCAGTTCCCCATATACAATTCTATGGCATGTCCCATTTTCTTCCCCCTGCAGAGAAGCCAAAATGGCTTGCCCATTGTCTTAATAGCTGTATTCTTATATAAATTTCCTAGTCTGTCCTCAAACAGCCAGGTTACATATCCCTTCCTGTATGTAAATCAACAATCTGTTTGCCAGGCCTAGCAATCTCATGAATTCCTAAAGATGGACCACACCCACAAGAGTTATTTCACAAAATAGTTAATTAATTTTATGTGTCAACTTGCCTAAATTATGGTTCCCAGTGATTTGGCCAAATGCTAGTCTAGTTGCTGTTCCATAATGTAATCTTCCATGATTTAATTACCCTCTATAATATAATCTAATGCCATGTAGCCAATTCATTGGCTGAAAAAGGAGTCACCTTAGTCTTCTGCCTCTCGTATTTTGGCAGAGTTCTCTTTCTCCCTTTACTTTCACTCTTCCCATGGCCTAACCTATAGCTCTTAGAGCACAAGACCGCAGGAGTCTCCAGCCTGCCACCTGACCTACAGATTTTGGACTTGCCAGACTCCACAATCACATGGGCCAATTCCTTGAAGTAAATTACTCACTCTGTCTAGACAGCTCACTCATTCTGTTTCTCTAGAGAACCCTAGAATAAACTTCATTTAGGACATTCTGGGCCTTAGATCTGTGAGATATCCACACGGGGCATCAAGCCAGGGGAGACCCTCCCTACAATCCCTGTTCCCCGCCCAGCTCTCTCACCTCCAGAGCCCAGAAACCTCTTGCCGTCAGATACCGCTGGGTACTTGGCCTCCAACCTGCGGTCTGGATAGATGAGTTCCTCCGCTGAGAAGACCACCTGGCTCCTGGCCTGCCGGAACTTCTTCAGAAGCTCCCGGGGTCCTGACGCGAACAACACGTCATAGCTGCAGCCAGAATAGAGAGCATGGGAGGGTGAGGGCACAAGTAGATGAAGACTGACCAGAGATCCTCAATTCCTGCACCAACCCTGAATCTGCCCAGGTCTCTGGCCCTTCCTGCCATGTGTCCACCCAACTCTGAAGAGAGACAGACTCTATAAACTGTTCTTCTCACACTTTTATCATGGCTCACCACACCTGGATACATCCTGCCTCCCATCTTTCCATTAAGAATGGGAATGAGCTACACCAAAAAGTCTTTTCTTTGGGTTCAGAGAGCCTCCAATACTAGAAATCAACCTTGGCTAAAGTGGTGCTCCTCACTCCTAATGTTCTGAGAGGCCCTTATTCTAGAATTTTCTTACATTTTCCCAAGAGGGATCCAGCCCAGGAAGCCTCCAGCCCATACCTGTCTGTGAAGAGAATGACCATGTTTTCCTTGTCCGCATGCTTCTCCAGAGCTCTCTTCAACAGCCGAACCTTCTGCCCTCCACCTGCTGGCATCTCCTGCCCACCATTCCAGTCCTCCCCCAGGCCAAGCACCTGCAGAGAAAGGTCCCTGACCACTGGTTGTAGGGGAACAAATGCCTTTTTCCAGTCACACGGTCTACCCTGCACCCGAGCACTGAGCAGGTTTGCTTCTGTTAAGCACCTTCTCCTCTCCCATCCCCTGCCAGCAAAACATTCTATAATATATGTGAGGCTGACCTGGCTCCAGTGATCACGTGACTCTGCCTGGCCATTCAGAATTCCCTACCCTTCCAGCTCCACTCCCCGCTCTCATAGCCCTAGCTCTGAGCATGTGACCCAAACATGGTCTATCAGTGTTCCCTCAGTCAGTTCTGTTAAAGCTCTAAGGAAAGCTAGCTTGTTTTGTTCAGGTTGCAAACCTGAGACATGGGAACCTGTGGCTGGCGGTCACCTTGCCACCATGTGGAAAGAACATGTCTGTAAATGAAAATAAACAGGGCTCACAGATACGATAACACAGCAATGCTGCTTCATTTAAATGCTTCAATCAAGCGATGGCTGAAGCCAGCTTTTGTTTCAACACTCATTCATGTGAGCAAATGCATTTTCTTGCTTGCTTAATGTCACTAGTTTGCAAGCATTATGTAGATGGTGACATGGTGTGTCTTATCCCTCACTCTACCTTCAAGTCACACTGTGCCTCACAGAGGGAGACGCTCGGCACCCTCTGCTGGAATGGACGAATGTCTCCCTCCGTGATCTGCACACACACAACCCCAAGTCCATGCCACTGATAAACTAGGTAGTCTCCAAACCATGTCCTCCCCAAAATCCCCTGGAGAGATGTGTGAAAATTAGAAGGCCCTACCTTCTAATCTACCCTCAACAGAGCCTTATGCACCCTAACATTTGAAGCCCATGGGAGAAAGATGAGGCTTTCTGCTCCCGTAAAGATTTACAGCCTCAGAAACCCTGTACAGAGTTGCTATGAGTTGGAACCAACTCCACGGCACATCACCACCACCACCACCAAGCATTCCCAGTCTTTGCTCCTCCCACACTTTTGTTCACCTCCTCATGCTGTGTCTTCTGCTTCCTCTTGCTGCCCCCTAACTTATCTTCATCCTTCAGGCTTCCAAAAGCCTTCTCAGGTACCCCAAGTCTATCTCCAGGTCTCCATAGCTTGCAACGGGAGCTTGCCTAGCTCCTGGATCCTCCCATCACCCTTTGGTTGCATCATCCTAGCCCAGGAGCCATATTACCTGAATCTTGTAGTTGAAGAACTGGGCTGAGCGCTTGAAGCGTCGGAATCCCTCTGTCTCCTTAGTGGCCACCGTGAGGACTAAGAGGTTGTCTGGGGGCAGAGATGGGAGTAGGGGTGAATGGAAAAGGAGTATGAGGGGCGAAGACAAGGAACAGTGGGTCACTGTTCTCAGAGACCAATCAAATCCTGGCAAGATATGTCTTCATGTCAATCTGTTATAGATAGAGCCAGGTAGGAAGGGACATGCCTATAATATGGAGCTGGTCAGTGGCAGAGCTAGGACATAACCAATCCCCGACTGACCAAGGTGACCATAAGCATCCACAGGGGAGGCATTTGATCTTGTGTTGTAGGATGGAGTCTTTCTCGCTTTAAGGCCCTCCACACGACAGATGGAAGGATTAGTTCTGAATGCTGAGCCCCAGGAGGACCTCTTGATCAATGCGAGGATGGCAAACATACAGTACAAATGCCACTGTTCTCAACTCCCATACCCAGAGCAGACATTGCTAATCAATCTGAATAGTCTCACTTGGCCTTGGATTCTTCCAACTCAGTCAGTATCTCAGGCTGATACAACCAACCAGAGGTGTTCTACAGTAGAAACTAGTAAGTCATCTGTCAGTCTGTCTGTGACCTTTGGCCAGAGCAACTTGTACTACCTTTTAAACAAGGGCCCTCCCTGAGGCTTTGCCTCTGCAATGGAACCTGCCAGCATTTCTGGGTTTAGGAGCCTTGGAGAGCCCCTCCCAGACCACACAATGACTTTGTGTTCCTGAGAAGTGAGGGCCTGGAGCTGGTCTGTGGGCTTCGAATCAGCTCCTCTGATCCTTATCGGCTGGTGTGGGTGGGTTGAATTGTGTCCCCAAAAATGATCTATAGCCCCAGCTGATCTCCTCCCTCCCTGCCTTCCTCGGATGGCGGCTGTTTATGCTGGACGTGTGGCCAGAGACGGGTAAGGATCACGTGGAACCT